CATTTAACTCAGAATAGGTAACAAAGGTTTTAAAGTATTTGTTCATTTATCAAGCTAGATCAACATCATACTGCAGACGGTCATTTAGGATAAAACATCCATATCGGAACTTTTTTTTTAAAGTGATGCAGTGAGTAACAGGAAGACACCTTGGACAAGATGGCAGTTTCATAATTAGGGGGATGATTTAGGATTTCCTGTTAAGCCCATATAAACGTATTAGAGAAACCTTTCATTAGGGGTCAGAAGATGCATGCTCCAGAATCTACCCGCTGCAAAGCTAGAGAGCTAACCAATGCACTACCCTGCAGCCCTGAATCTTAAAGAAGAGTTCTAAATGTTTCATTCCTTCTTTATTGACATTCAACCATCATATTCAGTATTACACAGCAGAATATCTTTGCTCCACTTGAGAGTGAATCTTTCCCTTATTTCATGTTTAGTGTTTCTCAGACAGTTTTTGATATCTGTGAATTTGTTCCAGTAAAAATCAGTGTAGCAGAATTTCACATATTCAAATAAAATGCTGGAAAGTGAAATCAGCTGCGGGAAATGATCAGTTGAAACAAACTCCTCTGATCTCCCGAACCTTGATTATGCACGACTGAGACTCCACAGCGCCACAACAAATTCTCTACAAACTCTTTGCATAGGATGCCTGCCTGCTCTGCATCCTTCCAGTAGTCAAGATTACTTTCGCTAAAATAGCATCTCTGTTTCCATCAGCAGCGTGCGTTCCATCACAGCAGACTTCCATAGAGGGTTGGACATGCTGTCAAAAGGACAAAAGCTAAAAACCAGACAGTGACGCAACCTCCAGCATGAGCAGCCAGCTGTCTGTCGATTCAGTTTCATGCTGTCGGCTTATCAAGTACATAAATCAAGTGGAAGGTTTTAATAAATATAAAGTTAATTACAACATTTCTGCTTAAAAGTACATCCAGGGTTAATGAGTGAACATTTAAAAAGTTTTTAGTATTAGGCATAAATAAAGCAGAGACTTTCTGATACTGTTTTAGGCATTTATTTCTATAATTAAATGCATGCATTGACAAAATGAAAGCATCTTTAAATGAGAAAAAAATTCTCATATCTCTCACTGCACTGTTGGTTTGTAATAAAGCTCTGGATGTTTTAAGCTCTCTCAGTAACTTGTCATTGTTAAAAAGTGTAGTTCAGGTCCTTTGAAACTTGGATTTTGCTGCAAGGATTAAGCCTTTCTGATCAGTTTTCTCTCTGAAGACCTGATCCTGACTCAAATCCGTCACAAGCTCCTAACTCTAATTTGGAAGCCGTCATAGCTGTTACCAAGGTAGTGTCTTCACTCAACCTGACTTTAAATGTTTCCTCCGAGGATCAGTGGAGTTTGAGTTCAACGCTAATGTATGCAGCACTGAGCTACCAAAAGCGCAGAAGCAAATCTCTTAAAATATATCTGAAAGTTTTGGCTGATTATATAGCAGTAACATTTTTAAAGATCTGTCAGAAGTGGGATCAGTGGGTAAAGCAGCTCAGGTACTTAAGTCAAAACCTATAGTCTCTGTTGTTATTGTAATAGGTAAATGGTTTGTTATGTTTGTTACGTCTAAATATCTGTGGTTGGTGATAAACAAGTATAATTTCTTTTTACACTTTATGTCTTTGCAAGAACAGTGATTATGACTTTTTAAAAGTAGATTGGCGGCACTCAGACAACATACATCACACACATCTTGTAGGGCACCAAGGGCCTGGCACGGGGCAAAAAAATATATATCAGGCATCCTAAAGTCATATTTGTAGTAACTGTAATTATCACATACCAATAGCTAAAGAAAAAGATACACTGGGATAAGTCGCAATGTGAATGTTTACAGAGGCTTGCAATGAGGTTGTCAAAGTTAACACATAAATGTGTGTAAATGCACTTTTCTTTTAATGCTGTTATTTTCTTTAAATGTGCCACTACCACATATGCTTCCATACTATTGGACATCTTCTGAGGTGGCTCTCTTAAAAAAAGGGAGGCAGATTTACTTGGTCTGCCTCCTGTCCAGCTCTCCTTTTCTGCACACTCAGATCAGCTGTGAACTCCTACCCTATAGTCCCTGCTGGGGGAGAAAAACAGAACAAGTTTTTTTTCCTTCTGCAGACAACATGGTGTAGCAAACCCTTATTTCTCATGCAGTTATTCACCACTGAAATGATACTAAACATCTTTGAACAAATAAAGAAGACAAACTCAATTCTATACTTCATTAGCAAACAAGAAACTTTGTGGGGGCTGTAAATTGCAAGATAGATCTTCAAAACCATTCAGGAACCAATTTTCTGTTGTGCCATAGAACACAATATCATTCTAAAGGTAGGACTGAAGGTTTGTTTTTTTTTTAGAGCATTGCTCTTTTAAGCTCAATTATTGTCCCCTGATTCTCAAACAATAATGAAACTTAAATGTCTTTGTGACAAATTTAGACTTCATAGCTGTTTTATAAAGGAACTCTTCATATAGAGTCATCTTTGAATTTGAATGTAGAAACATTTTAGATCATCAGATGTCAGGTCTCAACCCTCATGCAGGAGATTGATGGACATATCTGACAAAATTCCTGTGTAAGACACTCATTATAAGTGGTATCGTCCAGTTTCTCTTAAGGTATTGAGGTGTTCATGTAAATTTTTACGAAAAAATACACTTTTCAGTTCTGCTGTTTCCTTTCTTCAGAATCAGCATTTTATAGAACTTTTGAAGCCACATTTAGAAAAGCTTTCTAAATGGAATCCGGCACCATAGGGTGTTGAAGTCAACCCATCGTAGTTGTAACTCTAAAGCAGCTGTCCTTTAAAGGTCACACAGGTTTAAAGCACACATTTGTTATCTAAGGCAGCTCCTGAAAGCGGACGTGAGATTTAAAGCCAAAACACACAGAAAAGGACACAGTAGTAGTACAGTTCAGCATTTCTTGCCATTCACAAACTGGTCAGGTTGTGGGTAAGTATGTCTACAGGACTCTGGCCAAGGGTAGTCCTTTAGCCAGGGAAGATGCTTAACATTTTTAAAGCCTGAAGTTACCATACAAAAGCAATATTCTTTACCCTTTAAAAGGAAAGTCTGGGACAATTTAAGTTGTGCTCCAAAGGGCTAGGCTGGTTTCATTCTCCATCTCCTCTGTTTCTCCAATGCAGGCTTATTTTAAATTTCACATAATCATAGGAAATGACCTGCCTGAATGGTGATTTATGAACAGCCAGGGAGCTTAGATAGGGGCTGATCTTTGCAGCTTAATGATCAAGCCCTTTTTTTAAAAACCTTTAAGCAGCCTTGTGTCTCCAGAGTTGTTCAGACTTTTCTGTCCAAGCTGTTTTTCGCAGCCATGGTAATTAAAGGTTAAGCCAATTATCAATTCCCTCAAGAAGTGTTTGATTTTCTTACTGTATAAATATATATATAAAAAAATAAGCATGAAATCTTTGAACACCCAAGGCAGTCTTCTGAAGTTACACTTTTGCTGTTACATCCGCTGTAATCCAGTTTCTTTCCCTCTGTTATGCATTCACAATTTTCTGCCACGCCACTGTGTTGAGCACCACAGGCTGTTTGGCCCACTGTCATAGCACTACGTTCGTGTAAACAAATTGAATTTGTGTAACCTTGCTGACGGGTACAAACTGCAGAGTCCAGTCTGGCTGGTGAGAGTAGCGTCCCTGATGTTTGGAGCCCAGTGGAAACATAGTTATTACGGCCAAAAAGAGTGAACTCGCCGCCTACAGTGGCAGTCGGCTTGTTTTGCTGTATAGATGATGAAGTTGATGTATGGGTCCCTCGCATGCGCAGAACAGCCACACTCGCTCTACCGAGTGATGAATTGCTTCAATACTTTAGGCTATTGAAAAGACCGGAGCACACAAGATCTCATCTCAAATCGTCCTTTCTATTTTCTCCGCTTTCTATTTTGGCAGATCTCATAAAAATTGTATTGTTTTTCTTTTTGTTGCTTCCCTTCTATCCTTCCTTGTTCCTCCGACTGTAGATCAGCTTCTTTTGTCAAACTTTTAATGAGGTAAAAGGTATGCAAGGCTGCACTGGAAACACTTGACAAAGCACTTTTGAAAGATTAAGGCTGACTAACAGAGCCGCTGTGCCTCGCTGCCTTTGTCTCTCCACCCTTTTCTTTGTCTGCATCTGTCCACTTGAGCAGGAGGCTGCGAGGATGAGCATTGCAATAGAGGCAAGATTAAAATCGGATGTGAATTGGACTGGAGATTGGTTCGCAGACTGAAAATGAAAGTGGAGAGAACACTGGGGGGGACAGATGAACAATGAGGGAAGGTCACCAGTAAAGAGTTGGTGCGAGAGCACAGTGCGGCCGCCGCCGAGTTGAAGGATAAAATTGACTGGGATGCAAGATTTGCTCCCACATTTGCATGGAAAGAATATATATACATCTTTCTGCCACTTTACCTGTTCAGTCATTTAAAGGGATCTTTTTTCTAAGGGTAACCAGGGGCTGCTTTGAAAGCCATCTGTCGGCCAGTGTTTTACGTCCCCATTAAAGCACTTAGGATGCTTTGTGGCTTTTAGCCCGTATTTCATGTCGTTAATCACCTCTAAGTGAATTTTGTGAGAAATAACCTTCTACAGGAGCAAAATCAGCCATTATTTTCTCTCTAATGATAATAATGTAGGTAAAACACTTTGACTATTCATGAGTGTCTGTAGCTCATATTTATTGAGTGATTATCTAGTCTTTTATTTCATTCTTAGTGTTTAGATTTGACAACCAGAGTGAACAGTTTTCATAATTGAGTGCCCTCTGTTCAGCAGAATTTGCTATAAAAATATTTCCAAGCAAAATACTTTGTAGTATGAGTCAGATATACTTTCCAAAAACATTCATGAAGTTTTCTCTCCACTTCACCTCAGCAGGAGTTTCTGTTTGGATCATAGTGTTTGTAGAGTGGTCCTATTGATTCTTGCATTTATTTTTAACTGCACTCTCTTCCATTTTTCTGCTTCACAGTGGCAAACATCTTGTGGCGTGAAGAAGGTACGTTTGGGATGCTCCTTCTCTTCTATAGCATTCATTAACCTGAGTTAATTGAATTTGTGTAATAGAGTTACTGAACTGTGATGAGGATTAAGTGATTTGTTACTTTAATCATAGATAACATTTCTGCCAGCTTATTTCAATTCTAAATGTTCATAGTTTACAGTCTTATGAGCTTTTCCAGTATGCAATAAGCCTGTTGTTCTCCTGCAGGTCTTGGCATTGGTAACATGTTTTACGTGTTCTATGAAGATGGGATTAAAGTGATTCAGCCAGTGGCATGTGAGATACAGAGACACATTAAACCCAGTGAGAAGCTGCTGGCTCTGCAGGTGAGTGATCAAGAGAAAACTTCACAACTAGTAAAGCAGTTAATCACCTGCAGCTGTTATCATCTTTATGTTTGATGTTGAGTTTCAAAAATTACCAAAAGATGTTTAAACACATCATTAAAGGGTCTCATTTTGTGTTAGTATATTTATGATCAAACAGACGTATTTTCTTCATTCCTCAATCTTTATAACTTCAGTATAGATATAATGGTACCAACCTGTGTTTTTCTATAGAGCTAAATCTGTCTCAATTTTCACAAATACACATATGTGATCCATACATGCACAGTACAAGCTCCACACACACACACAGCACGATTGGGATAACTGACCTCCAGATTCCACATAATCAGTCACCGCTCCAGACCGCTTGCGCAAAGCAAAACCGTCCTGCTCCGCTCCGACTTCCTTGGAGATCGAGGAGAGCACACGTGGTATTATTGTTTAATTCATAGGAGAAAAACATGTGGTAATGAACACTTAATTTAAAATGCGATATTAAAACTCACCATAGGCATCAATCACATTTTTCTCCCCAAACATTATTTTTTCATTATGGGTCTTTGTAATAGGAATAATAATACAAAATTTGGTTTGTTCTACCTGCAAACTCAGCATCTCTTCATCCCTGCCTGCAATAAGAAGTTTCTTTTGAAGTTGACAAATTCGCTGTTGGAACCTGTTGTGACTGAAACTTTTAAGCCTCGCAGTATAAAATTTATATTTTGATCGAGATGAGAAATCTGGTTCCTGGTATGTTGAAGTACCGATAATCTGCATCCAATAATTTAATTGAACGGATCTTCTCGAAGGTCTTTTTCCTGTTTACTACGATTGCAATTGCGGATTTTTACCTGGCCAGTGTTCTGTCAGCTCAGCATACCACCTTAGGCCAGCATATTCTTAATAATACGCATACACGCGCATGATCGTTATTAGTGGTTTTCAGTCCCATACAATGGCTTAAGATTGTGCCAGTATGCTCAGTAGATTATCCCTGAGTGATTCCTAATCCTAACCCCAAAGTCATTCATTTCCCTCCGCGGAATCAATTAATCTATTTAAGTGTAATCTGAAAATAATTTCAGTAGTTTTTCATCTGCTGTAAAAATGAAAAAATAAAATGATCTGCATCTCTCTCATATTAAACAAACTAAAAACAAATAAATCTCATATCCTGTCTCTGGATTGTACAAATCTCTCCCTATATATATATATATTTAATTTTCTGTAAAAAAAATGCTGATCTTCTTTAATAAGATCCTCATCTAACGGACATCTAATGTTTGTTTTTAAACCTAATGTGTATAACGAACCTAGTGAATTATTTTTGTTGTTGTTTTGTGCATAAACTACAACCAAAAACCTGACGAAATAAAACCTGACGAAATAAAACAGCGTGCATTGATGTAAGGAGTGAGGAGACAGAGGAAACTCTGTGTTATACGTATGTGTGGTTGGCTTTTACAAGCGAGCTCTGTGATTGGTTGCAAACCATCCCCTGTTTAAAAAAATGCATTTGTGTATCGAGGCACGTCAGGAAAGTCTCAAAAATCCATGCACAAATTCAGTGAAGTTTAAAGACCACTGGTACTTTGTAATTTAATTTATAATTGTTTATGGACTAGAATTAATTTGGAGAATCATGTGCTGTGCATGTGTGAATCTTGTATGCTTGCGTGAATCGTGCTGTGTGTGTGTGTGTGTGTATGTGTGGATCTTGTACTGTGTGTTTGTGGATTTTTTTGTGCTTGCGTTAATCGTGCTGTATGTGTGTGGAGCTTGTACTGTGCATGTATTAATCACATATGTGTATTTGTGAAAATTGAGACTGATTTCGATCCATAATTTTCTACCTTTATTTTATTTTTTATTTTGATTTTTCACTTAAAACTTGAAAAGCAACATGACTCAAACTGTCATCTTGAACATGCTACTTTTAATGCCCCTGTAATTTAAAGTTTTGCTAAACAAACACAAATCCCATCCTAAACAGTGGGAAAAGAAAAAAAGACAAACAAATAAATTATTAATAGTACTGCCAGGATTGGGCTTTAATAACAACAACTAATTATCCATTTACACACTTAAAACACACACACACACACACCCTACACACGCACACAAACAAGACAAATATTTTGGGAAATTGAATGTCATTAGTAAGTTGAAGATATGTCTCTGGTTTTCATGGACCGAGTGAAATTAACATTTTGGAACTCTTTCAACTCAAATGTTCCATTCCATTATTCTTGTAATTAGACCTAAACTTGAGGAGTTGAAATACCCTTGCATTTTCTAGGACAGGGGTCACCAACCTTTTTAAGACTGAGGGCCAGTTCATGGTTACTGAGTCATAGGAAGGGCTACCAACACTGACCTATGAATAGGAGGGGTCAGCTTTCACCTAAACTTCATAAATGATATGCATATTTTTATTGTTTCTTTCTAGATGTCTTTCAGATATTATAATTTTCTAATCTTTATAAAGGCTTAAATGCTTTTTATGATTATTATGAGGAGATTATCTACAAATGATAAAAAAAAAGAGCAACAGAATAAAGTATAATTTCAAACTTAGCTCACTGGTGAGTTGCTCTGTTTCAAAAGACCCTGAGGGCAAACCATGTGGTCCGTGGTGGTGACCTATGGTCTAGATCTAAAATTGTTGACATTTCCTATTATCTTTTAATGTTTTCATGAGATAATTCAGTACAAGTAAGTTCAAGTGGCCATCCAAATCTACAGATGTAAAGCTATGAAAAGTTGAGCACAATTTACAGCTATAATAAACCTTTAAAGTTTCAATCCTTTTGCTAATTTATTCCTAAAAAGAAAAGGATGGCAGTACAGTCAGATCATAAAGAAAAACTTTTTTTCATTCCTTCAGCTTTATATTTATAACTAAATGATATCAGTGGATGATGTTTGCAGTTATAAAAAAACGTGAAAGGCTTTAAGCAGTGCAAATACTTTTTCAAGACACTATATGAGTGCTCCCAGATTTAATTAACTCATAGCTTAAGAGTGTGATTCCTCAAGAGCTGCGTGATGTACAGCTGTGCTATCTGTCTCTGTTGATCCCTCGTCCCAGAGAAAATAAGGATTTACCTTCTTTCCTCTTGCTTTTTAGATTGAACAAGCCTTAAAACCAAATACTTTTGTCTACAAGTTTTCAACAGAGATATTGAAAGGATGAAAGCCAGCAACAAAACTAGGGTTTCACATGTGGTGAAACTTTCAGATTTTGATTTGTTTGTTTTTCTTTTCTTTTTGTTTTTCTTTCATATCACACATGTTTTTTTTTTATCCAATTATTTCCCCATGTGTTGCTACTTAATTCTGTCTCTTGAGCTGGAAACTATAGACTCCAATTTCCTGCATAAATATACAAGTTGTGATATTTTTTTATTAGTTTAAAATGAGCTTGTGTTGTCTTTGCATTTTTCAAGTCCACTTATGTTTTTTTTTCAGTCCTCTGGGGGGCTGGGGACTTTACAGTGTCTAGCTAGCCTGTTTAATTTAATTCACTGACAGACTACATGCAATCAGAGTTGCTTTCATCCCTCAGCGGACTCTTTTACACCCAGCTACCCGTCCCTAAATCACCGTTTATCACCAGAGCTCTCAGGCAGAAAACATTCAGAGCTGCAAACTGATAGATACCTGTTAGATTTACATGTGTTCTCGAATAGACGTTTTCCTCTGAGCTGCTTTTCATCCAGCAGTCCTGCGCTGATTGGATGGAGGTTATACATAAAGCGAAGCCATGAATGCACAACGATCAGCCAAGTGTTCCTTTGAGAGGTGTGCTTGTATTAGGATATCAATCACTGCTAGTGTTGTGATGCTGGCTCTAGAGCCGTCTTACTTCCCTGTATTGTGAGTGTGAGGCCATTCGCAGCATGGTGCTCAGATTTTCTCCATCACAGAGGGGAATTGATTGATTAGTTATGATGATCACACAGCTCATTCATTATTATTGTCCAGTATATAAAGTAGTAAGCTGTGATACCAACTGAGGAAAACAACCTAATGTTTATTTGTAGTTCAATCATTTTGTAGTCTCTGCTCACTTGAAAGGACAGTCTGAGTTTTTTTCTGCTTTTTTTCTGAGTAATTATTAGCTGTGAGTCAAAACAATGTCATGATTACATTTTTTTTATAAGGTTGATCATTTTCAGAAATGTCAAAGTGTCCATTAATCGTTCTCTATTATATGAATCATTTATCAGCAGCTTGTGCTGAACTCTTCGTCATCACCCACAGCTGCGTAGGGACCTCCTAATATAACAGAACTTTTGAACAAACACCTTCTGAGAAAAAGGAAAGGACCAAAGCCCTTTTTTGTATTTGTTTGTTTTAGGTGTTCCTTTGTCTCTGCTTGTGGACTGGACAGATATAACCTTTTGTTCTTACTTGCAAACTCTGGAACAATCATCTGCTCACTGTAGAAATGTTTGATACATTGAATAATTTTAAGACGCTCTGTAAAAACCTTTTAACTTGCCTTTTATTTTAGTCTTTTATATCTTATATTGTTCCCAGCTGTTCTATTGGTTTAACTTTAATGTGTTTGTTTCTTATTCCTCAATGTTAACTGTTTATCTTTTTTTTTTCTTTTAAATTTATGGACATACACAACACCAGGTGACTGACTGATAATATACAACAGGATTTCTAAATTTTTACACCACTTTTGTTTGTGGCTTTAAGTGACAACGGCGAAAAGTTTAAGGGGCATAAAATACTGTTGAAGATCGGTTGATTTAAATTCTAAAAAAGTGAGAGAGAACAATGCGAAAAACTGTAGGAGAGAACTATTAAACAATTACAGCAGCAGTCCGATTACATAACCTTCCCAGAAAGTTTTGTGATGGCGCTTGATATTTAACTTTAAAGGCTAATTCTGCTGTCTGTGGATCTGATATATTGAACCCAAGACTACTGATTTAAACACATGAGCAAACATTTTCAAACTTGCCTTCCAAGATCACAGATTTATTCTATGACAGCTAATTGCAAAGTGTGAACCAGACAGGTTCAGGTTTAAAAACACATTTTCGGTGAGATGTTGGAACTTGAAATATTTAGATAATACATTCAAAATGTCATAATTGGAGGTTATCAATTACTGCTCCGCAAATTGGCTTCATCAGCACAAGCTGTATTTCTCCCTTTTTGTTTTCTGTCACTAGAAGCATTGTGTGTGTTGTTAGTTTTCCAACACAAGCTTGTTTACTGTAAACTGTGATGATTAGCAAGCTGGTCTGAAATAAATAACAGTTGGACACATGACTAAAATCTGGGAAAAATTCTCCCACTCCTTTTTATGCATATGGAATTAGCCCAATTTCAAGGAGCTGCTATGTTTGATGACTCAATACATCAACATGTGAAACTGGCTGTGATTTAGAGCAAGTGCACTAAATCCCAGCCCCTTCCCTAACTTCACAGCCTCAGCGAGGCTACTACACTGATTTTCACAGCCCTGGTTCTCCAAAATAATCATTATCAACAGGAAAAAAATAATCCTTTGTATTTATCAAATATTTTTACTTTAAAGGGATCTAGTTTTCCTTTTTTTGAAGGCTGACATTTACTGCTTAAGTTATATACACAAAATGCACCCACACAGAATGACATATGCAACACACGAGACTGAGAAAATGGAAGCCGCCTCCATTCACACCCTCAGCTGGGTGTCAGATGTTCGATTTCTCACCTCCTGAAGGCGCGATAAGTGAGTATAAATGACCACTGTGTGGGTCTGCAGGGGTGACATGGAGTTCAGTAGCAGTGATTCAACCTTAGCTCTGCAAGTGCAGGAATTTTGCTTATTTGAAAATATTGGATGAGAAGCAGTGACAGATGGTGCCACATCTGGACTTCAAATGGGATTATAGTTAATGGAGTCAGAGGTTTTTTATTAAGTCAAATAAATTTAATATCTGTCATTGTTTTTCCTATTTGCATTTGGACATGACCTGTTGCTGGATCAGATTTCTGGACAGCACTAACTTTTAGAGGGCTTTGGAGTGTGTGAAGGGAAGAAAAACTCCCATGGCAGAAGGCTGACAGGTTTCCAGTTGGCCAGGGAAGCCTGGGGCTGCCAGGACTAGAAGCTGAGCAGCTGCAGATGATCTGCAGGCTTTGTCCTGGACATTGTATACGGACAAATGAGAGTCATTACAAAGATTTTGCAGGAAACAGCAAAGATAATTTATCTAAGTTGCCAAGATAACAACACTCATGTCACCCCCAGTGAAAAGGCTGCAGTGGTAAACAACACACACACACAAGACTAGGTAGAGGTAATTGGCTTTTAATGAGATGTATTTTCCTGTGATATGAAAAACAATTAGCTCAAAGTAAACCGTGTCTGTGCTTGTGTTTTTGTAGGAGGAGGTTTGCCCCACCTTGCCTGGAGAGGTGTTGCAGAGGTGTGTGTGGTCATCCGCTGTCAACGTCAAGGACAAGTTTATTTATGCAACACAGCCAACCTTGGACCGAGTGCTCATAGTTGACGTCCAGACTCAGAAAGCTGTCCAGGTAATTTTGTTCATAGATTAGAAAACTGGGTTACATGTCAATCTTTGAACACTGAAATATGTGACACTTTTACCCATAGCAAATGATTTTCCTTTCGCCTTTTAAAAAATGTTTTCAGTGAGTAGCAATGTCATAGCAATATTGTTATTGCAATGGTATTATTTTTGTGTGTCATAATTTTAATGGAAATGTTTAAATTAATCCAGCATTAATCTGATGCCGTTCTTCCCGTGTAACTACACATTTTGGCACTATATCAGTAATAGATAAAATCAAGATTGTTTCCACAGACCAGAAATTTGACTTTGGTTTCCCACATTTACATTACATACACATTAAGTATATATAAACTTTAGCTGATTAAGGATTATAGAAACAGTTCCCTCATGCATGTATGTGTACTGATTGTTTCTTTTAGAATACAGAAATAGGAAAAAAGAAAGGTAAGCTGCGATTGTCCAAATAACAGAGAATTTGACTATTCAGACTGTGAGTTGGTAATTGTGTTCATTAGTGAGACAGCTTGGGGATGAAACTCACTTTTCTTGCCTGTCATTTGTTCTGTTGCACCAATTTAAATGTAGAAGTTTAAACAGCTTGTCTCAAGCACTGTTGGGCTCTGCAAAGATGCTGGCAGCCCGTTCCCCGACCATAGGCCTGTATAAATGTTGGTTGGAGGACAGGTCCTGATGATTCTCTCTACGGTCCACTTTGGACCGGCGCTGTTTCGGGGATGAGCCTAACCCCAGACCATATAGTGATAATTGAGCAAAGAACAGACTAAATAATGGCCCAGTAGAAGGTTGTACCTTCTGAAAAACAGTTCTGGGATGTTGGATTTCGATGTGTTACCAAAGGCCACTAAGTGTCCATGCTGATCCCTGTCCAAAACCAAAAGCTCCAGCAACATGTGGAGCATGTGGAACTAAAAACAGCATTGGAAAAAGGTGACCTGGTGGGATGTGTATGGCTGTGAGTATGCATATTACAAAAGCATGACTTTGGGGTGCATTAAGGGAGGGAGATGCTCTTCTGATATTTTTCATCTACACAAGCAATCTGGTAGACCGTATCTACCTTACTCCCTTAATGGTGTTTTCTCTTGTAGTGGGAACATGTTTCCTTTCAAATGAATTAGGTTAAGGAAAGGTTAAAATTTAAGGAACATCCAAACCAGTCCGGATTTTGGATTGTCTAGTGTCAGACACAATGGCACATCTTCAGGGATCAGTGCTGCGTAATATCAAAAGACAGATCATAATATTATGTTTAATTGTAGTAAATAGTTTGTAACCTGAGTTGTATTGCATGCTTGTAGCATGTATAACCACTTTATGGATGATATGTATATTATGTGTGCAGACAGTAAGCCCCCATCCAGACAAAGCAGATAGTTTAGGTAGATCCCACAATGTTCTACTTTTTTTTTTTGGTTGGATAAAGGGTCCATTCCAGATGAAACTGCTGAAAAGCTGACTATATGAGGGTAGTGCTGGCATAGGATGCAGGAGTTGGTCCTGGAACAGGAGGGTCATCAATCTTGAGAGTCATCCAGTTGTCATGTCTTTAGACCAGAAACTTCATCCATATTTTCTGCTGATGGTGCTCAGAGGGCCTGGCGGTGTCCATGGACACCCCAGAGCCCCAAGGCAACTGTGGTTACAATGTAGCTTGCCACCATCACTGTAAATAAATGCGGTAATGACTGAATGAAGTGTGCCTAGGTACACAATGCACTCTCGGGTGAAAGTCATGGCCAAGTTACCAGGGCACATGATCAGTCAGTGGCTTAGTGATATGACTTTACTGTCGCTGTAGTATAAAGTGAGTCCCCTGATTTAAAGGTGCTAGATAAGTACAGGCCATATATCATATGGTAAATAAAAATCAAATTTTAAGTGCAATAAATAACCCGCTTCCTTGATTTTGAATACGTGGGTCAGACACACTATAAAAGTCTAACTACTCATCATCAGTCTTTCTTAAACAACAGCTGTAAAGATAAACTTTACATCGGAATACATACTTAGGTTCATTGAGGCTGCACAGTTTACCATCTAGGCTTAGAAAAAGCTGATTAGAGGTGAAGCAACTGAATAAATCTTCAGTTAATTTAATTAGAATTTAGTAGGATGCAACTAAAGACAGTGACATCTGCAAGTAATAGATGTATTTGTTCCATTTGTCTCTGAAGTTTTTTCTTATCAAAAATGTTGTTATATCTCCGTGTTTGGGTGAAATTGCTGTTTTTTCAGCTTTAAGTCAGCTGTCTCACCTTCTGCCAGCTGCTAATCCTTGACCTGACCTATTTCATAGAAACTGCTACTGTCAAGATCTACAGTTAACCTTCGCATTGAAGTGATGACCATGGACCCCCGAGGTCTACCCTCTGTGGAAACTGTCGCCTGACAGCCTTTCAATTGTTGTAACATGACCACAATTTTTCTTTGAGATATTCTAACAATCAGTCTCTCTGACACTCAGTGTGGAAAATATCTTCCTTTCTAGGGAATAATATTTTCCAGAAGCTTAAAAAGAAAATGACATCATTTCTAGATGTGGACATTTGGCAACAGTCTAGACAGCAGTCAGTTAAATCTTTGATGTCAGTGGGTTTCTTTTGGATGCGTCACAATAATATAGCAGGATCTAGATCCCCACAGATGTTCCTGATGCCATGATCGCTGTTTACAAAAGCCTCTCAGGGACCTGCCGGTAAGCAGCCTGGTGTCCCAGAGTCTGTCACCGGTTCATTATTTAGGCGCCTGGAGGTTTAGCTGCTTTGCATTATGTTAGCAGTTGTTAATTAACCACCTGATACCATCACTTGTTTTTAACTGTGACTTGAGCTGTAGTTATGCATATTCTCAATCTATACATAGGTAGAACTCTAAATAATGGATTCAAAATATTTCTTCTCACAAAACTAATTAGAAAATATTCCTTTTGTTCTTCTATTATCCACACAGATTGTCACAGCTGACTACAGTAATAAATATGATCCTCTCTGTGCTCGATCAGGGTCAGATCCATTGTGTGTGTTGAAATTTTCCAAAGCATATTGGCTGAGGATCTTCATGATCTTCACTAGTCTGTAAGAAACTAATAGTCTGGAGTTAAATAATGAACACCTGTTTTCTCAGATGATGACATTCTCCAAGATTAGTAAGGATTCAAAAGATTCTAAGGAAATTCTCTCTTTAGCTGTTACTTTTGACTGATATAATGCTTAATGTGCCAAGATAAACAACAATAATATTTGAATTTTGAAGTAAAACAAATGTCACAGAAGCAAAACTCCTGTTATAAGAGACCTTTAGAATTAGTTTGCCCTGTGCACCTTCTTGAATAGATATGCCTTTGCATTTCATGTTCTCTTACTTTTAGAGTTAAGTATTGTCCATGCATAAAAAGGAGTTTTTTTGATTAAGTTTTTGCTCTGACTGAATCCCAGTCCATTAAATTGTTATTGAGTTTACCTCAAATGAATTAAATAGCTGTTTCCACATTTCTTTAGGTATTTGCTTTAGCCTTTAAAGCCTCAATGTGATCCGGTGTACTCTTTCAGACCGTCAGAACTGATCCTTATCCTGTGAAGCTCCATTACGACAAATCTCACGACCAAGTGTGGGTGCTGAGCTGGGGAGACATGGAGAAGAACTTCCCCACACTCCAGGTAAGTCGTGATTGAGGTCAGACCCTTATTATTCATGTATTCTTCCACAGCATATTCAATGAAGGCTTTTCAAGGCAAAAAGTGAAACATCCGAGCAGTAAACATGTTTTATTCTATGTAAAAGAAGTGTTTCATAGTCTATTACAGTTTAAGACATCACCTTGCATCTTTTTTCACTAAAAAAAAATGTATACAGTAGACAGGAGCCAACAAAAATATCTTTAAGGTGTTATTTAATAATTTTTACAAATGTAATTACTACCATGTTTAAAATCTACAAATATTTATTTTTCCCACACAGAAAAAAAAGTATCACAGGTACTAACAAAGATGAAAAACGCTGAATATTATCTGCATTAATGTGTTTCTGTAAAAAAAAAAAAAAAAACGTGTGTGATGTTTTCCATAAAATTGCTCAGTAGTGGTTGTGAGATGCCAAAGACCTGCCCTCCCACAGGGTATCCAGGCATACATGGAGGCAATCAGAGCCCCACATCCACGGGAGGAAAATGGAGTGGGAGAATGACGATACAAGGCAGCAGAGAGTGCAGTCGAAAGTTGCAGAAGAGTGATGTTACATTTGGAATGCCAAAGTCAGCCAATGAAGGAACTAGGATTAAGTTTGTCAAAACAAAGTCTCCAGCAAGAACTCCAGTTCATCGTTTTTTAGATTTAAAAAGTGTTTGTATTAAATGAGGAGGATCATGTTAGAAAAATGTTGTCTGAGTGCAGTAGCTGAAAGTCTAAAAAAACTGGAGCTCTCCCCAGAGATGTGAAAATATCCTAAGGAGAGTTAAATCTTCCTGTTATCCTTACTAATCCCTAATAATCCGAAGCACAAAAAGCACATTTTAATTATTGAAGATAAATGTTAAGTTACAAAAAATACATATAAACCACCCACGCTGTGAATATAGAAAGTATCACTTTGGTATATATGATCCACCTACATTTATTCTCATAAGGATTTCTCTGAGCAAAAATAATATAGCTTTTAAAGCAGGAATTCCATGATGTGTGTAAAGTCATATTCCTGCAGTTATGATTAAATGATTAAAAGATCAAAATAAATTTAATAAAATAATTTCTTCTCTTTGAAAACAAATTAGGGGGGTGGGGGTAGGTATTTTAATTGTTAATTCTTTCTTTATTTTTAGATGCCCTAGCTGTAAAATCTGCTTGGCTCATAGAAATATGACAGTGTTAAATATTCATAATGGTTAATACAGTAGAGTAGGCAGCTTTTTAAAGGTGCGAAGGATGCCGTTCATCTGTGGGGAGCGCTAACTTTGAAATTAGATCTTTGATTTCTTCTGTTTTTGTTTTGCTTTTTTAACATTTAGATAATCTCGTTTTCCAAATATCTTTACAGTTTCGTAAAATGTTCATCAACATGAATTTAAAATAAAACATAGGGACCTAAGAGATCTTAAATAATTTGAAATAAACTGATTTACTCAATCAGATGCCTTCAGCATCAAAATTGAAGCAGATACATTTACTTGAATAACTTTATAAAAATGATAACACAAAAACTTTTATGCGTTCTGTTGCTATATGGTACTTTTTACATGAATAGAAAATGAGTAATCATTCAATGAAGAACAAGTTGAAATTAGCAGATTAACGTTGCTTTTTCAAACGTGGGTTAACCCGCTAACAGTCTGCATTTGGCTCCTTTCCCTTTCAGCTAAAAAGTCTGATGTCCCACTGGCAAGCTGTTTGGTTTCTGTTCCCCACCACTTTGTAGAGCAACATGGTAGGGAGCTAGGGGCGTCGTCAGTTTGCTTTATTTTTTGGCTCTTTTGTCCATCTGAATCTCTCTTGCCAGTGCTTGCTGCACCATGTTTATCAAATAAAGCAGAGATGTTCTTGCTTGTTATTGTTACATGTGACGACTGTTGTGATGCACATAGGATATCACGTTAATAAGCAGATTGACGCAGTCTGCCGTTCCCATCAGACTGCATATCGATCAATCCAAGCCTTTTAAAGACAAATTTTACCTGTGCCGATACCAGTGTCATTTGACATTGGTTGACACAGGTTAGTGAGCCCTTCCCAGAGAGAAGAGAGGGGGCAAATACAGCCAGCTCCACTCTGAGAGTTTTGTTGTAAGAAATGTGTGGATATTTAACCACCTTACAAGGAAAATGTGGGTGTTAAACATGGGTCTGACGCCACCGGGCTTAAACATTTTAATTCAGAAAAGGTTTACTAATGTTTTCTATAAAGCAATACCCATTAAAGGAATGGGAAACTAATGCATCGTTGAATGTGGATTCTTTCACAGAGTCCAATTTTCATTTTTTTCCAATATGACAAGTGTACATTAATCACCAAGCCTCTGAGGGATTTTCAATTGATTTGTTTCTTGCTTACCTAATTAATAGTCACTTCCATTCCCGTGGTAAAGTATTCAGAATGTGACACACATCTCTTTCTGAAGCAGCCCTTCAGACGTCACATCATTGCAAGAAAAATGACCTCATTATAATTTCAAATTTAGTTAGTCAACAGATTTATTTTCAACTAATCAGCTTTATATACACCAACTTGTCTCTATTGATTCTCATAAACTGGCAAAAGCCAGTCCAAGTCAAACTATATCAAGGTTTCAGTACGTATTGGTATGAAGCCAAATAAATGAAACTATATAACATAACGGGCAGGTTTTTTTTTTTATCGGTTTACTCCAGAAGTCATTTTAAATCAGGTAGAGACTTTATTGCCTTCACTTGGAAATCTTTCTTGTCCTTGCAGACCCTGGAATTCATAATGCACAGGTTCTGTGCATTATGATCTGAGACAATTTGTTTTGAGCTTTGTGGCACAAACATATTAAACTCAGCCCACACAGCTAGGTGTCTGCATGACTTCATGCATGCTAAAGTGTAATTTAGACACCAAGGGCGACGGCACGCATCCCCATTTTCCATCGTGAAGCTCCAATGCCACAGCAGTTAGAGGCGGAGCTGATGAGTTTTATCTGGAAATTGAAAAATAACATGTCAGTTTTATTAATATTATATCTTTCAGTTAAAATGGATTTAAGTTGAGCGAGGGCTTAAACAGGGAGGAACTGACAGCTTTCAGTTAGTTCAGCAAGGTCATGTTAAACTCCTACCTTCCTCTGCGCTTGTGTTCAGGTGATCAATCAAGCCAGTGGAAAAGTCTCCCATCACACCGTTCACACCCAGCCGATCGGCAGGCACTTCGATAAGGTGGAAGACTTCTTCATCCCCACCTCCAGCCTCATCGTAAACCACATCAGGTATGTAAGACACAGCTCTGTTTGCAGAGCAAACAGATGCATTCATAGCATTTAGTCCTGTGACATTTTACTTACTGTCCCTCTAAATCTCAAATCTACAATTTTTACTTCTAAGGGCATAAACATGCACTTTGTGAGAATGGATTTAATGAGGGTAGTTATGTAGTAGTTTTCCTTTTTATTCAGGTAAGAATAAAAAGGAATGCTGCTCTGCTGAAAATTTAAATTCCCTTACTATTTAATTTTGAAACCCTTTAATTGTGAAAATGCAATGATTATTAAAAACAAAAAATATGCTTTAAATATATTTCTGACACTGTTTAATTTCTAAAACTCTTTTTATTGAGAAAGGCCTGGCAGCCTCTCAGACTGTGTAAGGAGTCAACTTTGAATGAATTAGGTCAATTTGATACTAAGAAGATAATAAAGCAATGTTTGTTCAAAGACATATTTGGAATTAATTCTTTAGTCTTGTCTAGTCAAAACTATATTATTAATTAATGAGATTTAAAATGTTGTATTATTCCTTGGATCCCTCATTCCACTTATTAGCTCCTAGATTTACACTAATTATACTTTAGTTTTGATGTTGATATATTAATAACCTATATTAAATCTAACATCTAACTGGAAGAAGAAAAAAAACAAGTTTTTTTGTACAAATGACGCCTAGGCGGAAGTTCAAGTGAAGAAACTGAATTACTTACCCTCTTCCGCCTCCAATGCAAGCCAATCAGCTTTGAACCACACCTCCATGGAGCCTAATCAGCATCCAGAGTTCATTTTAACCCTTTAAAGCCAGATCCAAGAATATATTATCAGGTGTATCTGATTGTGTACAATAGGATTTTGAGCAAAGTTTTTACCATTAAATTATGCAAAAGGTGTCAGACGCAAAACATTTCAGAAACCATATGTATCTAATATGACACATTTGGCATTACAGGGTTAAAAGAACTTCATATTCACAACTCAGTCTGCTACCCAGCCAAAGCGCACATGTCTGAGCCCAATTCAACCCACCTCCATCCCCTTCTCCACCATCATAGCTAAAGCTTCTTCCGACTTTTCCATGGTGCTTCTTTTACTTTGTGCCCATCTGATTGTCATTCCCTCCAGACTCTTACTTTATTCCCTGACACATCTCAACTGGTCCGACAGAGGACCGACATGTTGAGCCTGGTTCTACCACCCAAAGGGTGTTTTTCCTCTCCACTGTCGCTTCACAAAGACAAAAGTAGTTGTGTCAATAAAATTCTTGTAATTGTCTTTTTCTTTCCATGTGAGCTTTTCAGATTCAAATGTATATATATTCAGAAATTAAGGGGTCATTCCATATTTTATTTTAAAAAATTCTTACACCAATTAATAAGACCAAATCCATAGCTTTAAATGTTTGATTCTTTACAACCACATTTGACAACCAATCCTATTTTGATTTGATAGACTAGCTAGAAGTACAGTGTTTTTCAGGCAGAAGCCATACCTACTGTAGGTCAGCTAATTATCAACCATTTTGACATATACCAAATGGCGCAAAGGGGAATTGTATTCTGCTTATTTTATTCCACCCCAATTTAACAAAAAAATACTTCACAACTTGGTCCCTGAACTGTCTCCTGTGTTCTTTTGTCTTCATAATGCTGTTTCTGCTCTAATGTTCTCTTCCTTGGAGCTTAACACAGCAGGTGTATTTATATACATAGCAATAGCTTTTCAGTCTTCACTAACAAGATTAAGGCAATCAATTTCACATGCTTTTATTTTGTGGGGTGCAGTTTAGGCAATAGCATTCACATGCAATGGTAAAAACAAGCTATGCTGCTCCGAATTTATTATTTTAACGAAGTGAACCTTGTATCAGTTGCCTTTGACTGATAATATGCTACTTTGTAGGCTTGTATTCCTCTTAAAATCACAACAAAAAACATTGAAGTGCATGGCTTTAATGTGAAATAAAAAGTTTTTTGGGGGTATTTACTGTATGTTCATGTATCTAATGCTTTGGCAATGCACAAGAAAATATCACTTAGTGATTCAGTGCAATAAATCATTGCAATTTCATAGTTCTCCAAACTACCCTGATTTCTCAAGCAATAAGCAGCTCTAACATTCAGGGTTAAAATATGCTACGGAAAGTCTGGAAGCAAGCAGGTGGTCTGCAGGATTTCAACGTGCAAATTGTCATCTAGAGAGAAGGAATAAACAGACTGCTCTGTGGGTTTGGGCGGGGTAAATGGCACAGCTGTAATTAGATCCACTGAGACCTGCACGAAAGATTACAGCAAAATGTGGCCACAGGTTTTTTGCTATATTTTTCTTTTTTCTGGGGTTTTTCAGGGGTTTATATGAAAGTATCCCTCTGCCCCCACATTATGCTTTTTTGCCTCAATGTCATCAAGCCATTTTCAATAAATTAAAATAGCACTGTAATGTTTATTTATTTCAAGAACCTGATTAAAAAGTGAAATATTATATTAACTGATAGAACACATTAATGTTTTCAAGACTTTTTATATTATCTGAGATATTTTTCTGGTTACAGTTAATACATTTTTTTTTTTAGAGATAAGTAAATTACATCAGACCATTGATGAACTTTTTAAACCAGATTCAAGGGATATTAACTTACTTTTAACTGACAAATTAATACATTTGCTGTGTGATTCTTATTCTTTGAATATGACCCTGTATTTTTATAAACTTAATTAATTAAATCAAGTTGGATAGAAAACAAATATAAACACTGATTAAGTATTCTCTGAAGAAATAGTATTGATTTTTTATTTTATTGTAAAATGCCAAATAACTAAACTGAAATGAACTGAAAATCTTTTTCTGCATAAAAGGTAAAAGTGATACAGCTATATCTTTGCTAGAGTTAGTTTTTTTTTTTTTTTTTGTCAATTGCTTTAGTTGAATGAAATCGACTTAATTTAAACACCCAATGCCACAAATATCCAAAACTAACTTTTTTTATGCTGCAGATTTCATACTTAATGGATTTGATATCTTATCAATATCAGTAATGCTCTCTCACACAATATGACCAAGTGCAGATTTCATGTCATGGGCAGCGACGCCCTAATTATACTATCTTACTGTATATGATTGTTTGCTAAATATAATTTGATAGATTGGCAAAGTTAACTAAAGTAGTCTGCAAAAATCCAATTTAAGGATTATGGGAGAGACGAGAATACATCCACATATTTCTGTGCATAGAAAATATATTTCTCTATGTCGTAGGCTGAGATGAAAACACTTTTATGATCAACAGAGCTTAAATAACTTCGTCCATTTTTTTCTAATGATGTTTCTTTCTAATCTCATATCAATAATATTTTATGTCATTCTCAGGAAGGCCTAATTGATTAGTCGTTTTGGTAACATTAGCGCTGCATGAACAGCTAACATATAATCTGCAGCTTTCAGAGACTTTATAGACAGAGAATTTCCTGAGCACCAGTAAAATTCAGGGTTTTTATCATTCAGTAGAAAAATGGAGTAAAGACCGGAAATATTTAATACTTTTCTGACAAATATGTATATGATGTTGATGTGAGACCTGAACTTTAGAAAAAATATTTTAAAGTTTAATTTTTAAACTCTTCATCTGTTGTAATGAGCTCAGAAACTTTAAGAGAACTGGAAAACTAGCTAAATTAAATTAAATTAAAGCATCCAATTACAACAAAAAGAGCATGTCTTCATTATGATGTTGTTCATGGCTTCTTTTGATGTGAACATTTTAAATGCAATAAAAATGAATCTGTTATTATTGCATTTACGTCAGCTATCAAATTCAGTTTTGGTCTCTTCTCTTTATTTACATGCTAATTTACCAGATTTAGCCATAAGAGAGTCCTACTCTTGAAGAATCTGTTTATACTTTTTGTCCTTTAATTTCTTTTTTCAAACAGATGTTTTCCAATTTCTTATAAAGAGAAAAACAATTGTAGGATCAGTGAATCCCATTAGAGCGAGTACAATTCGCATGGTGGCTGTCAAACATATTTCTTTTGTTCACATATAGTGACAGCTTGGTGTTCAAATGGCATAAAAAATGATGGATGATGACACAACTGAAGTGGCTGTCAGCATCGATCAGCTGATGTTCGTATTTAATTAGAAACCTGGCAGCTCCTTGCATATTCCTCATGTTCAGATGCATTTGTGACGTGCCATCAAGGAATTGCTTTTTTTTGTGAAATGCATTTTCACTGAACCTTTGTCATGTGATGCAATTCTATATTTCTATTTCAAAGTGAAATTACAGGGTAAATAGCAAAAATGGTTTATTTATATATGCTTATTCACAACACTTAATCACATGGCTCTTCACATAGGCCACTCAACCAGATCAAACAGTCAGATTCGTTCAAAATGTTCTACCTAAGGAAAACAAGCTGATTGCATCAACTCATTGACTCAACAACAACCTCCACACTAAGCATGCTTGTAGCGACAATAGAGAGGAAAACTTTTTTTCCTCTCTACATTTAACAGGAAGAAACCTCCAGCACAACCAGGCTCAGTATGAGCATCCATCTGCCAATGCCAACTGGGGATCAAGGAGCCAGAAGTAGACATACTGAAAGAAGCAAAGATACTGTACAAAGGGTAACTGTCAGCCAGCTCCATAGGTAGCCCCATTGAGGAAACACACAGCCAGGCAGAACACCTCCGAGCCAGCTCCTATGTCAGAGGATGAAAGACGGCACAGTTAGTCATAGTAAAAGAAAAAGGACTACACCGAAAAAACAGGTCAAGCTCCAAAATCTATAAACAAAGGCAGCAGCACACCTGATATTTCTGGGATTGTTTTCACAGCCAAACAGGAACAGACCAGAGGAAACTACGAGGATGAAAAAAAGCAGAGAAAGCATAAAATTAGAGGTGGACTAACAAATACTGCAGAATGGGAGGCAGAGATAGAATAAAGCAGGATGAAATAGGGGTCCCTATGTCCTCTAGCAGTCTAAGCCTATGGCAACATA